TACTCTTCACTCATTAGGGATTTGTCTTCTTTTTAAACTTCTCATAACAAGAGGTTGACAGCAACAATTTCAAAAACTACACACAAAAAAGTAAAGGTTCGCATCTGTGATAAGAAGTCCGGCAGAGCCCTGACCGGCAGCCCTGTGACCGGTGTGGTGGTGGCAGGCACCCCGCAGCACTCGCCCTGGGGCCGCTTCTGAAGACTTGAACTCGGAGTTTGTCTCTCAGTTGTTTTACAATCATCTTCCTACTCTGGAATGATTTTAGGTTTAGAGGAATGGTGTGAAGGTCCTACTGGTGCCTCTGGGTTTTAACCCGGCTGGCACCCTCCTCCAGGGCTGGGAACCGCCCTCCCTCCTGGGCCTGGCGCTGCCGGCCCCGCAGCTGATAGGGACACGGACCTGGGAAGCCCCGCCCGGAGATTAAACCAGGAAGAGGCTCCAGGAGCCTCCTCGCTGTCTCCCTGCGGGGCAGACAATGTGCGCCCGGTTCCCAACGCCCTGAATGGGGCCCCGTTGGTGGCAGCGTCCATTCAGAGGCCGCGCGGCATTGTCCTGCCCGATCCGCACAGCAGAATGCGGTCTGCTGGTGGCTGCCAAGAGGTTAGCAGCAGCGGTGAAAGGGCGGCCCATTGTTCCCGACTCCGACAGAGCTTCCCTTTGTGCTGCGCGGCCCGCCCCACGCCGCGGAGGTCCGGATCTGCGGCTGGCTGAGCGCGCCACAGGAGCCATTCATGGGAATGCAGAGACGCAGAAAAGCGGCCCAAAAGCCCAAAGGCTGCTTTCTTGAGGCCGCGGAGCCATGGCAGCAAGGGGCGATGACACATTTTAATGCCATGCCATGCTGACAACCTAACCGCTGTCACCAAGACCCAACAGCAGACACGGCAGAGCCCTCCCTGCTCCGGGGCTCCGTGGGAGGTCCCCGAGAAGCTTGGGGCCTGGAAGCTGAGGGCTGATCAGGCAGGAAGAACCGCGCCGCTCCTGTGGGTGAGGTGCTTCTCCCTGGGCGACTGATATGCTGTCCAGGGAGGGCGCCCAGGGCACAGGCGGTCATCAGTCACTTTGTGGCTGACAAAGCCCCAGGCCCCCATCCCCCACCTGTGCTGCTTCCCCACAGTGGGCAGTCGAGAGCACAGTCCCCGGGCTCAGACCTGTCCCTGCCTTGGTATCAGTGCCAGCTCCAGAGATGCCCGGGAGGCCGGACAGGTCCCCTGCAGAGGGCGTGGCCATGCACAGGGCTGAGGGCTGGCCTCAGAACGTGGCCACGAGCACAGCAGCACCCAGGCCCGCATTTGCCACCCCTCTTCTGCGACCAGGCTTGTGGCAGGGAACCAGGGCTCCATCGCTCTGGAGACGGAGGTCAGGTGCGGTCAGAGGGGATAAGGGGCCACGACTCAGGGCCCTCAGCAGGGGCCAGATGCAGAGGAGCACCAAGGCCATATACCTGCTAATAACAGCACAGGGATGGGGGCCCACCCCAGACTCCTTGTGCAGAGCCCTGTGGGGAACCTGGGAGGATCGTGAAGGCAGCAGGCAAAAAGAGCCACGCAGGCCACACTCACCACAGCAGCAGACAGAGCCAGCGCTCAGGAGGGGCCCCACCAGCTCTAGCTCTCCCTGGAGCGGCACCCACTGGAGAATCCAGCCTTCCACCCCTTCCTCAGGATGCACAGTACTGAGCTATGACAGGTACACACTTACATGCACATGCACCTACACCTGTGCACATTCACACACGTGTGCAACCCACACCCGCACACATGCGCACACACCCACAGATGCACACACACCCACACCTGCACACACACATACACATGCACTCCACACACCCGCAACCTGCATGCACACATACCCACATGTACCTGCACACATATCCACACCCAGGTGCACATGCTCCCCCCACATACACACCTTTACACACACCCACATGCACACACACGCATACACCCTAGCACACGTGCATCCACACAGATCTGCATGTACCCACACACACCTACATGCCCACACCCATGCATGCACACACCCACACACATGCACACACTGAGGTACATACACACCCACACACGCATACACATCCACACATGTACCCCCAACACACAAGTGTACACATATGCACCCACACGAGCCCCCACACACATGCATGCACACATACATCAGTGTACTCCTGCACACATGCACACACCCACTCAGATACATGCACCTACACACACCCACACGCAGCCACACAAGCAAGACACATGCACATATGCACATGAAGCCACCCCCAAACATGGACCCACACATTCATACACCCACACTCACATGCACCCACACACCTGCACTCACATGCACCGACACACGCATACACCCGCACTCACATGCACCGACACACGCACACACCCACACTCACAAGCACACACACATGCATACACCTGCATACACCCAAACTCACATGCACCCACACCCACATACACCCACACTCACATACACCCATACATGCATCCACACACACATACACCCGCACTCACAAGCATCCACACACGCATATACCTGCACTCACACCCGTACTCACATGCACCTACACAAGTGCACTCACATGTGCCCACGTATGCACACACAATACAACCACCACAGCCCTGCAAGCGTGCACACACCCAAATAGACATGTACCCACATATATCCACACCACACATGCACCCACACCCACATACACCCACACTCACACCCATACTCACATGCACCCACACAAGTGCACTCACATGTGCCCACGTGTGCACACACAATGCAACCTCCACACACCCCTGCAAGCATGCACACACCCAAATAGACATGTACCCACACACATCCACACCACACATGCACCCACACCCATTCGTGTGCACACATATATGCACTCATGCACCCACACATGCACACACCAGCATCCACAAATGCACACACACACACACGAACACACATGCAGATGCACACGCACCCACCCCCACACAACCCCCACAAATGCTCATACACTCACATGCATGTACATGTATGCAGACACACAAAATCATACACATGCATAATTGCATGCACACAAGGTGTGTACACTCAGGCATGCACGCAACCACAGGCACACACATGCTAATTGACCACTATCCTTAAAAGGCGCTGTTAGGAGGCAGGGACCTGCTGGCTGCTGTTCTCCTTCATGACCCCACCTGCCTTAGGGAACCCTCAGGACACGGGGCTTGCTTGGGTAGAAATGTACTCCACACAGTCCCCAGGGGATGCCTCTCACAGGACTCTCCCACTCCTGCTCTTGAGAATCTGATGGCGCTGGCCACACACCACACATGACTCAGGGGCAGGGGCCCCACCCACGTCCCCCTCCACATGGACTGCTCCTCCCACTGTCTTCCCCAGGAAGCCTCCCAAAGGCTCAGAGGGTACTAGGCCCTGCCCAGCCTCCTCCCTCTTTGGGTCCAGACCTCAGTGCCCCCCAGTTCCTGCCTCTGCCTGTGCAGCCCCAGGCAGCTGTGAGTGCCCCAGGAACGGTGGTGGCCTGGGAATGACTCAGTCCTTCTGCTCGGCACAAGCCCAGGGTGAGGTAGGTGTGGGTGGGAGGGGCTGGCCCCAGGAACAGAAGGTCGGGGTCTGAGGAGGCCAGCTGCTGGAAGGCCAGTGAGGTGCAGGGCAGCTCCAGGCCCTCGCACGCTTACTCAGGAGTGCAACTCGGCATTCTGTACGCACAGGGGCTGGGCAGGGGTTCAGGTCAGGGGCCCTTCGGGGAGCAGAATGGGGTTCAGGTGGAAATCAGGGACCACCCTGGGGTGACGAACACAGGGTTCTGGTCTCAGGCCTGTGTTCGTCACTGATGCAAGCCCACGCTGATGGAGCACTGTCTTGTCAACCATGGGGATGCTGGCAGGAAAGATTTCCATATGGGGCCTAACTGGAACGGGCAGAGAACAAACCCAGGCCGCCTGGCTGTGGGGGTGAGCTTCAGCAAAAGGCCCAGCTGTAGATGGGGAGGGACACGGGTCCCAAGATCAGACACATCCCACCAATGGGGTTCCCCTGCTTCCCAGTGACAGCCATCATCTCCACAGCATCACCGGTGGAGCGACCTGGAGCACTGGGGGGCAGGGGCCCAGGCGCAGGTGGAGGTGGCCCCCACGCTCCCACTGACTCTTCAGTGTCCTATTCACCTCCCACCACAGCACCCCATGGCACTGTTTTCTCATCTTCCCCACAAAAAACTCAGAGAGAAAGTGAAGCCATCCCCATCCAAGTCCATGGTGAGGGTGCAGCTCCAGCCTGTGGACAGGGCTTGGGGGCTCTGCCACCTCCATGGGGCAACTCCAGTAAGGGCCATCAGCAAATCAGCAAGCACAGAGTAGAGTGTGTCTCCCAGAGCGGGCACAGCCTTTCCCAGTGGCCAACAGGGGTGGGTGGACACACTGACCTGCCCACCCACCCACCTGTCCACCCACACTTACCTCTCCACCCATACCTATACCCGCCCAGCACACCTGCCTGCCCACCCACACCTACCTCTTCACTCACACCTGCCTGCCCAGCACACCTGCCTGCCCAGCACACCTACCTGCCCACCCACACCTACCTCTTCACTCACACCTGCCTGCCCAGCACACCTGCCTGCCCCAGCACACCTACCTGCCCACCCACACCTACCTCCACCACACCTGCCTGCCCAGCAATTCTACCTGCCCACCCACACCTACCTCTTCATCCACACACCGACCTGCCCAAGTCACACCTGCCTGCCCACCCACACTCATCACCTCTCCACTCACACCTGCCTGCTCCAGCACACCCACCCTCGTGCCCACCCACACCTACCTCTCCACTCACACCTGCCTGCCCAGCACACCTACCTGCCCACCCACACCTACCTCTCCATCCACACTGACCTGCCCACCCACACCTACCTGTCCATCCACACTGACCTGCCCACCCACACCTACCTGTCCATCCACACTGACCTGCCCACCCACACCTACCTGCCGGCCCACACCTACCTGTCCAGGACGTAGCCCAGTGCCTTATGCCGGATTCCCGAGTACACAGAAGGGCTTGTTTCCCAGGCGACCAGATTGGAAGCATCATGGAAAAGATGGATATTCACCAAGTCAAAGGCACTACAACCAAAAGAGAAAAGGACACGTCACCAAGGGCCGGAGCCTCCGGGCCACACTTCATTCTCCCAAGGAGCCCCAGGAGGGTGAGACCTGCACCGGCCCCTGCCGTGCGGAGCCACCCGAGGCCGGGCACCTGTCCACCCACCTGTCTTCCGACAAGGCCAGTGGACAGGAAACCTCCAGTGAAGTCTGAATACATCTTTACAAATTTACATCTTTACGCAGTTACTCTGCGCAACTAAAAAGTGAGCTACTTTTCTTTAAAGAGGAAAACCTTGCAGGTGACTCTGGAAACTTTCCCTGATGGCTAAGCTAAGAGGAAGGGCCGCCCCTCAGCCTCACCTGATGCTGCCCGGGCTGCCGGCTGCACCCATGAGGGACCCCGTAAGGCAGCGTGGAGGGCACAGGGACAGGCAAGAAGAGTGCCTCATTTCACTCCCAAAGGGAAGACCCTTGGGAAGCCCCGCTGGCCGGCTACTGGCCTCCAGGCACGCGGACTTGGCAGGGCCTGATCAAGGCCTGGGCCTCTGTCACACTGCAGGGGACCCTCAGCACCTTCAGCTGGCAAGGACGTGTCCCCTCACCAGGGAAGGTCAGTGCAGGGCTCGGCACGGTCTGGACACTGTCCCACAAAGCCCTCACTGCCCACATGGCCTCCACAGGCTCCAAGACCCAGCCCTGTCTCCCTACCAGGAGGCGCCAGGAATGAGTGCGTGCAGGCGGCCTTGCCCTCCTCCAGCCTGTGGTCCAGCTGCCACAGTGACCCCAGTGACGCTGCCTGGTGAACGTGCCCAGTGTGCCCCCACACCATGCCATGACTGTTCCCTGTGACCAAAAGCAAAGGGCGGCCTGGCAGCCTGCACTGCCTCGGGTAGGCACGGGACCATGGCTCCTTCTCAGCAACCTCTGTCCTCCCCCTCCCTCCTCTTCCTTTTGCTCTCCCCTCTTCCTCCCTCCTCCTCTCCTCCCCCTCCCCACTCTCCTCTCCTACCTTTCTCTCTCACTGTTCCCCCACCTCCTTCTTTTCCCCCTCCCTCTCCCCTTCTTTCCTCCTCCCCCTCCCCCTCACCTCTCCCCAGCCTCCCCCTGCCTCCCTCCATCCCCCTCACTCTCTGGACACTCGCTCCTCCTGGGGATGTCCTGCCCTTAGCAGCCCCGGGGAAAGGCCCAAGGGGGAGGGGCGGAAACCCACAGCCCCAGTGAGTTTGGAGACGGGTCCTCTGGAAGCCCCAAGGTGACCAGGGCCAGAGCCCCAGAAAAGCCACTCCTGGGGCCTGAGACGCTCACAGCCATGACCTCATACTTTTTTTTTTTTTTTTTTTTTGAGATTGAGTCTCGCTCTGTTGCCCAAGCTGGAGTACAGTGGCTCGATCTCCACTCACTGCAAGCTCTGCCTCCCGGGTTCCCACCTTTCTCCTGCCTCAGCCTCCCGTGTAGCTGGGACTACAGGCGCCGCCACCACGCCCGGCTAGTTTTTGTATTTTTAGTAGAGACGGGGTTTCACCCTGTTAGCCAGGATGGTCTCAATCTACTGACCTCGTGATCCGCCCGCCTCGGCTTCCCAAACTGCTGGGATTACAGGCATGAGCCACCGCGCCCGGCCTCATATGTGTTTTTTAAAGCTGCTAAGTTTAGGGCGATCTGTTACACAGCAGCAGATAATCAGGTAGTGAAGTTTTGGAAAATCCATGAGAGGAAAATAAAAACAGTATTCAAATGAGATGTGATGGCTGGAGGGACAGGCTGGGGAGCCACCTGGAAGCCACCTTAGGAAAGCAGATAACAGGTTTCTGTTTCTTATCATGCAGAAAAGGTGGGGCGGCGCTATCGAGAACGTCTTCACTACAGAAAGGCCAGGCCGGAGGATACGTGGATGAGACACAGGCTCCGCTACGTCTGTGCTCAGCCTGCTGGTGGACCAGGCTGCCAGGCGGCTCTTACGCCATCTCACTGGGCAGCCACGGGGTGCCGGTACTAGGGGGCCTCCCTGCTGACTTCCCAGTGCAGCGGACTCTGGCCAGCGGAACTCTCGAGCTGCGGGGAGGGACCGGGGCTGTCACTGTGTCTCCACTGGCACTGGGCACCCAGATGTTTGACTTACAGGGAACAGTGACAATGCTCCAAACGCATCGCTGTGAACAAAAAAGGTCAGAGTGGCAGGTGGGGGTCAGGCAGCTGGGGGTCCTCACACAAAATCAGTAGAGCCTCCCATGAGGTGTGAGGGAACACGCTGCTTGTGCAAGATAGAAAAGTGTAAGAAATGTTATGGAAATTGACAAAGCAGAGAGAGACACCACGTACCAGTCTGCAATGCACCACCTTGTCCGGATGAAGCCTTTTCTTGACCATTTGCACTGAAAAATAAACACGTCACACGAATGAGCCGGAGTAAGCAGGCAAGAGCAACACGTGGGTCCCGCACACCTAAGGGACACAGGAGACGCTTTCCAACCGAAAAACAGCAGTGTTCTTTCAGCACTGATGGTGCCACACTACAGAGAACTGAGCTGTGCACCCGTCCTCAAGTGGAGCTTTGCACAGAGACGCCTGCAGGGGCTGCTGATGCTCAGCCTGGGGTGGGCGGGGGGAAGATACGAAGAAACGTGCCAGCCTGCTGCTTGTGAGCCCCGTGCCCCGGTGTGAGAGCAGATGCAGGGAAACCACTGCCACCACAGATGCTGGCTGAGCAGGGAGCTCGAGGCACACAGGGCCACCCTCGGCTGGACCACAGGGAAGATGTGAGTAGCTGTACCCAGCCAGGCGTCCTGGGCAGTGGGTAAGCTGCCCACCCTAAGACTGTGTGTGGCCTCTCATTGATCCCCACCACCCACCGATGCCGCCCACCCACCGATGCCGCCCACCCGATGCCGCCCACCCACCGATGCCGCGCAGTGATCCCCATCACCCAGCAGAGCCACCGATCGTGGAGCCTGAGCTCTGGTCTGAAAGTACTCCTCAAATTCAAGGTGAAACAGTCACCGGCATGAAAGTCCAAAGAGGGGGGTTCTTTAAGAGGTGGCAGGGTTCCCCTCGAGATGGCATGGAGGCCCTCTTGCCCTCCCACCTCCCACCACAGCAGGTTCCTCTGCTGGGCCACCCAGTACAGCAGTGGCCAGCCACCAGGACCACTGAGCATGCGAAGTGTGTGACTGAAGAACTGAATTTTAGATTCCACTTTATCTGCATTAATTTTAATTTAAACAGCCATGCAGAACAGGTAGCTTCACAGCCTAGGCCTCTTGGGAAACCCTTGAAAATCACAGAAGGCACTGGGAGGAGGCAGACAGAGTTGAGTCCAAGGTCCAAAAAGCAAAGCGCTTCAGGCAGTGGCGGGGGAATGGCAGCCACCAGGGCAGGGCACCACCCATTCCGTTCCCAGCAGCAGCCACAGGCCTGGCACCATCGGGGGCAGACGGTGGACAGGGGCTGGTGTTCTTGGTGCTCACGGGCTGGTGGAGAAGGAAAACAGGTCAGGGAAGACCCTGTCTCCTCCACCACGCCCTGAGGTCTGCCGAGGAGATGAAAGCAGATGGGAATCTGGAGTTAACTGCGGATGAAACACCCGTGAAGGAAGGGTCCAGCATGGCGCACCCCCTCTATCTAACACAGAGTGCAGAGGTCAGAGGCTCTCCCTTTGACCCCACCTCCCCACGGGCCACCGCCCCCCTTGGCTCCCCCAGTATGCGTACGTGCCGGACAACAGCTGCCCAAATGCTCTCTGCAAGGTCACCACAGCCTCCACAGGCAAACTCCTACAGACACTCGCCCTTCATCTCACCTGGCCTTGGTGGCACCTGGTGGCACAGTGGCCCCTGCAGCCCCGTCTCCTTCTCCCCATCTCCCTCCAGCACAGCATCCCCCCCAGCTCCCTCCTGGGCAGGGCTCTAGGGCTGTGGATTCCCAGGTGTGAGGCCCTTCTTTGCCTGCCCCCACCTCAAGTGCTCCCTGCCGCCTCCCTAAGTGCTCCCACTCATGCTCAAGAAGGGAAATTCCAAACCCCACACGCTGATGGGGGTGATGCTGAAGCCAGCCAACCCTTCACACACACTGCATTCTTCCCTTGCACTCTGGATCCACCACTGCTGTAAGCAGCACCCCAGCACACAAACTGAATCCTCTGAATGTATGTTTTCCTCTTTCTGGCTGTTTTAAAGTTTTCCTCTTTGTCATCAATATTCTGAAGCTTGAATGCCATGCAGGTACGGGTTTATTTTTATATATCCTGCTCTGTGTCCAAATTGTGCTCCGGAATTAAATTTCTAAAAATTTCCCCTTATCACTTCCACCACTGCTCCCCATTGCTTCTTTCTGGAATTTACTTTGGGTGTATCTGAGCCTCTTAATAGTCTTTATGTCTTTTAACTGCTCTTTTCTATAAAAATAAAAAACATACAAACAACCAAACACACACAAATCTTTGTCTGTCTTGGCTATGTTTAGATGAACTCCTTGATGACATTGTCTAATTCTCTGATTCTCTCTTTGACCACATCTAGTCTAGAATCTGTTCTGTAATTTCTAATGCAGAATGTTTAATGTTTCTACAGGCTCTTCTTCATATTCCCTTTTCTTGCTTTATTTCTGTTTTAATTGAATAACATTTTTAATGAACCCTATCTTTCACTTATCACTTTGAGCAATTTAAACATACTTAAAGTCTGTCAGCTTTTCCCACAAAATCAGCTTTATTTGGGGTGAATCTGTATTCTGGTGTCTGCTCGTCTCACAGACGTTCTTGGTTTGCAGTCTCCTGGAGAGTGAGAGGCCCCCTCCTCACCTGTGCAGTTCCATGGCTGCCCCACCCAGCATCATAAAAGGTCTGGGGTCTCTGCTCCCCAGTGATACTGAGGCACCCACAGATGCACCCTCAGGGTCCACAGGTGGCTCTGAGCTTCCTCCTTCCAGGGCTGGTCCTTCTTCCCTCACCTGTAAAGTCCCAGGCTCCAGGTAAGCAGACTTTTAAAGAATAGGCTTTATTTTTCAGAGCAGCTTTAGGCTTCCAGAAGAATTGAGCAGAAGGTACAGAGACTTCCTGTACACTCCTCCCGGCCTGGCCACGCACTTGGAGCCAGGCTGTGGCTCTACTTGTTGAGGAGGATCTGTCCTCACACCACGAGCTGGCCCTGGTACTGAGCCCACATCCCCTGCTGTGCTCAGGCCGCCCTGCTTGCCAAACAACAGGGGCTGCTCCAAAGCTCCTGGAGGCTGGCCAAGGCATCCCCAGGCTACTGGTCTGGCTGCTGCGCGGCGCCATGCCCAGACGACCCACGGAGCTCTATGGTGGGGTGGCGGGGTGACGGGCTCCCTGCATGCTGCACCAGACGCTTGTCTCTGATTCCAAACGTGTCTGCCTCCTCTCTCAGGGAGGCCATTTTCCCTGGGAAGCCTCTGTGTTCATTTCCCGTAGGTAACTGTGTCTGCGATGGAAACACATCAGTGGGAAGCTGATCTGTGGGGAGAAGTTGGTGCTGCTGATGCCCCACAGCGAGCTCCATGCTCCCGCCGACAGTGCAGCTGACTGGGACACCCCCTGATGCTTGGACTCTCTCCCCTTCGCTCAGCCTGCACTCCAGACAAGCTGCCTGTCACCTGTCTAGACGCCCTTCCTCCATCTTCCACACATCCCAATCCAGCCTGCGCTTTCCGGAGAGACCGCCTACCTGGAACAGCCACCACCCACCCACCCCCCACAGCCCAGCCACGCACAGGATCCACACCAGCAGCATCCAGGGCTTCAAGGCAGTGGGTAAGACAGGACTGCAGGCTGCCGGGTTCAAGTCCCAGCTGTGAGGCCTCGGGCACAAGGACGGGAGGACAGAGCCCGTGTTGCCGGGCAGCTGCGAGGGTGCGGCTCTGTGCACCCGTAGTTGCTATGGGCTGGCACCCGACACACAGGCCAACCAGAAAGGGAAACTGAGGCTTAGAGGTTAAGAACTGCACCTATGGTCCCTTGGCAGATTTACGCCACAGTCATTGGGCCCAAGGCTGGGCTCTCATCCCATGGGGGCTGCCATGAGAGAAGGCTGGACGTGTGACTGGTGACAAATCTACAGTAAAATAGGTGAGGCCCCTCTAATAGTCACAGTGGGAGGCAGGCATCTTTCCAGGAGAAAAGGCACTGTCCCTGCAGGCCGAGGCGTCTCCATACACAACGACTCCCCTAGAGCACCAGCGGCTCATCTTCTGTGCCTCGACACCTCCTGTCTGTGGGGGACTGGGTGGCCTGACACGCTTCGGGAACCGGATACTGCAGAGGTCAGGCCGAGCCTTCAGAACCCATGCGGGTGAAGCTGCGTGTGTGGGGGTGAAGCCATGCGTGTGTGGGGGTGAAGCTGTGTGTGTGTGGAGGGGTGAAGCTGCGCGTGTGTGTGGTATGTGTATGAAGCCGCGTGTGTGTGTGGGTGAAGTCGTGTGTGTGGGGATGAAGCTACGTGTGTGTGTGGGTGAAGCCACGTGTGTGTGGGTAAAGCGACGTGTGTGTGAGGTTGAAACCTTGTGTGTGTGTGTGTGTGGGGGGTGAAGCCACGTGTAAGGGTGACGACGTGTGTGTCAGGTGAAGTTGCGTGAACATGGTGAGGTTAGGCATGTGTGTGTGAAGTTGCATGTGAAGGGTGAAGCCCACGTGTGTGTGGGGTGAGATTCCATGTGTGTATGTGGGGTGAAGCTGTGTGTGTGGGGTTAGAAGTTGCGTGTGTGTGGGGGGGTGAAGCCTCGTGTGTGTGTGGGGTGAAGCTGTGTGTGTGTGGGGGGTGAAGCTGCGTGTGTGTGGGGGTGAAGCTGTGTGTGTGTGTGGGGGTGAAGCCACGTAGCTGTAGAGAGGTAAGCCATGTGTGGTGGTGAAGTTGCATGTGTGTGTGGGGTGAAGTTACATGTGTGTGGGGGTGAAGCTGTGTGTGTGGGGAGTGAAGCTCGTGTGTGTATGGGGGTGAAGTTGGGTGCCAGGAGGTGAAGCCGCATGTGTGGAGTGAAACTACATGTGTGTGAGGGTGGAAACCGGTGTGTGTGTGGGGTGTGTGTGTGGTGGTGAAGTTGCATGTGTGTGTGGGGTGAAGTTACATGTGTGTGGGGGAGTGAAGCTGTGTGTGTGTGGGGGAGTGAAGCTACGTGTGTGTATGGGGGTGAAGTTGCGTGTGTGGGGGGGTGAAGCCGCATGTGTGGGTGAAACTACATGTGTGTGGGGGGTGAAGCCGGTGTGTGTGTGGGGTGAAGTTACATGTGTGTGGGGGGTGAAGCCGGTGTGTGTGTGGGGGTGAAGCTGCATGTGTGGGGGGGTGAAGCCGGTGTGTGTGTGGGGGTGAAGTTGCATGTGTGTCTGGGGATGAAGCCGCGTGTGTGGGGGGGCTGAAACCGCGTG